ATCCTCCCCGTGTGCTGGTACTTGCCCTGCTTCCATCAGTGCCTACGTTGGATTGGCCGCCTCTGCTGTGACTCATCGCAGACGCCTCCTCCCCGTCGGAGTCCACAGCTGTCACTGGGATGCCTGTAGGTACCTGAGACGCGTGCAGCGCCGCCGCTTCAGATTTGCTCATAGGTCGCACTGTCGATTCGCGTATGCTACCAACGCCACTCCGTCGCATCAAGACCGGCTTTTTCAATTTCCCGTGAAATTGCACATGTCCGCCCTTGAATCGGCCCACAACGCCCTCGCAGTAACCCTGAGATGAAGGGAAGGCACGAGCGAAGGTTCAGTGTGTTAGTCACTTCGCCACAAGGTTCGCGCTGGTAGTCACGCGCGGCCGAGTGGGATTCCCACAGCATCAAACTTTCTGTCTGGTTCCTCTAAACCTTGCGCAAGCCTGCGTGTGATGCTGATCATCGAGAGCGATTTGATGCCCCACTCACCAAGAACCAGGCATCCGCATCGCCGAATGCGCTTCTGCGCTTGCCAGAGCTGCTCTCGGGGTTATCGTCGTCCAGTCTGCGCAGTACGATGATCTTTTCTCCAGTCATGAACATGAGATCCTCTGCTTCGGTTGCTGGATTATCGATGAGTGCCGTACAGCTGCCAATGCCACCCTTCTGGAGCGCAAAGCGCGTCCAAGCGTTGAGTGTGTGGGCGTCCATGATGAGCAGCTCTCGTGGGTAGACGAGCGGGTCCAGAAGGGAGCTGGCCTGTCGTGGCCTTTCACGCCGAGGATGAGCTCAGACCGGGCCAAGACGTTTTCGTTGGGCAATGCAGAGGACAAATACAAGTATCCTGGAAGCCGGGGTAGACGTTGTTGCTCCAGACAGCTGGCTAGCTGACAACGAAACGAAGTTCAGAGCCAGCTTGGAACGGTGATGGGCAAATGGACGCCGTCGAATGGGGTGAAGCCGCGACCCGCCGAGATGCGACTGACGAGATTTCAAACAAGAGAGCAGGCCTCTTGCGTAGCCTCGCGAGGTTCCAAAGGGTCAACGTTGCAAGAAGACGTCGTAGCAAGGATGGCTCGAGAAGCGAGACGCAGCAAGAGGTTTGTTGCCAAAACTTCGTCGTCAATGTTCAGGAGCGATAGATGTAGGAGAGGCTATGCAAGTAGAAAGAGGTCGGGTGCTCGGCAGCGATGCGCGAGTGGTACGTCGGGGAGTGCAAATCAAGCCTCGGATCGTTGAAGAGGACGACAGCAGGGGTTGGTTGTGCGTGCAACGTGATGTGATGCGTCTGCGCAGGCCATCCGTGATTATTCACGATTCTGCCTCGGTCCTCTTCTCGATCTGCTTGAGGCACGCCAGCCGCTCGCGCCCGCACCTACGCTACGCACGACTGCAGGTGCTGTGAGTTATAGTCACGCTCCCAGCCGCGGCCGCTGAGTGCAACAGCCCTCGATTCGATGCATCTATACGTCCCTACCATGCACCCATGCACCCATTCAGCTGCTGCTGGGCGCACGCAGCACTTAGGAGTCACTCATTACGATCTATCCGTGCCCACGTACCACAGGCACTGCGAAGGATCGCTTATAGGTCAATTCAGTCTGCTCGGTCAATCGCCCTCGCCCGCTCCTTTCGCATTCCAATCGCTTGGCTCCGATCATCGCTTCCTCATCTCGATCTCCCCACACTAGATTTCCAATCACGCCAGCCAAGACGCATCAAGAACAAGTTGAATAACACAGCGTATACCCAAACACCAATTGAACCATCGCAGATTGAGGCAGGTCGAGGTCGTCTTATTCAAGATTGAAATCCCGCGCTGATGCACGCTGCTGGCGCGGCGATCCAAAAATCAAGACACGGGGCATGTCGGCGGATCAGCGCGACTCCATGATGAATCCAGGGCCAAAGCAAGCGCGACTAAGGCAGCCGGCATGAAACCAGCCTCGGTGCTAATAAATACAGCAAGACTGAAAGGATCCATGCAGCAAGTCGACTGCTGAGGGCGTGCGTGCAGCAGCAGCAGC